CCCCCGGCCCGCGGTCTCCGCGCTGTCTGGACCTGGCTTCCGGGACGCACCGCTGCTCGCGACCCCTGCTCTGCAGGCCCGATGGCCCCTCTGACACTCTACCCCTCGCACGTTTCCACTCGGTGAAGTCGGGGTAAAAGTGCCTCAAAAGACCCGTCAAGTGGTGCAGACGCCGCAGTGTCCAGAGATCCCTCCAGGCCATCCGCGTGAGAGGCGCGGGGCCGTGCTAACACCTACTGAGCCTGGGGCTGAGGCCTGCCGTGGCCCTACTCGGGGCCTCCTTTCCCGGCCCTGCGGCTCAATGCTGGTCGGCAGCCTGGAGGTGGGGGCTGCGGGGAGCTGCAGCTAACCCGCGCCGCAGGATGGGGTGATGAGAAAGAAGTGGGACCTTCAAACGTGAGGGCTCCTTGGGGCAGGTCTCATCGCACCCGCACCTGTCCACCCCGGCCTGTCCTCTGAACCTACAGGGCCTCGTGCAGCTCTCCACGTGGGTGGCAAACCTGAAGTCCAGTCTCCTCTCACCCAGTGCACCAAAGTCCGCCCGGTGCCCGAGCAGACACCTCGGCCCATTTAAACACGTGCATCCGTCTCCGCAGCTGCAGCCGATTTCTCTGACCCCTCTGCTCCACGCAGCTCACTTGGCAGCTCTCCCTGCAGGGTCAGCCCAGGGATCAGCCACTGAGCGGAGCCTCATACCGGGATGCATCCCACGGCTCCCTAACCAACAGCTGCCCAGCGAGCTTCCTAATAGCTCCGGACTTTTCATGTCATTCACATCATATTATATGCGTTAAGAAAAAATCCAAATTTCTTAGCATGGCCACTACTGGCCTTACCAGCTTCACTGCTTCTCTGTTCCCTAAGTGAGCTAGGCCCCTTGTTTCCACCCGGCCTTCCCCGCCTTCCCAGCCCAAAACACTCTCCACAGTGGCATCTTTGCCTGTCTGAGGCTTACCCACCTTCCTGGCCTCTCAGCTCAAGGTCCATTTCCCGAGAAAGCCGTCCCTGCCCAGATGGAGTGGATTACGTCCTTTGTTAACTACACCTGGAACATTGGCACCACGTGGCCCGATCGTGGCACTGAAGAGGATGGCAGACACCAGTGAGTTCACATCTGTGGGTGTCTAGAACAGGGTTGGCAACTGCCGAGTGCTGCTTCCATCTTAACAACAGCCGCAAGTGCAACGCAGCACTGTTCACGTGTCTCCCGTTTGCCGCTTTGATCAGGTCGCCTTCATGATAGCAGGCCCATGCCCACCTACCCCACGTTTATCTCCCACACTTAGCGTGAGAGCCTGGCACGGAGAAGGTTTCTTGTTTTAGAGGTTTTTGCCTTAGGGTGTGTGCGCTTGCCAGAGAGAGACAGAGGCAGGGAGATGGAAAGTGAGAAATCACCCCTGGGGGATGGCCATGCCGCAATCCCTTCTCCTCCATTCTCCTCCTGAGATCTTGGGCATGCATGTACACGCACCCAGTGTGAGTTTTAAGCCGAGTCTGGGTCTTGAACTGCAGTCAGCCATGTGCGACGTAACCACGATGACATCTGCTGGCCCCAAAGGTATTTTAATTAATATGATGAATACATGTCTGAAGGAATCTGAAGATGTTCCCCTTTGAACGTTTTGCTTTTAAGTGGCCCACTTTACACTTTATTGATGCATTCAAGGCATGTCTTAGAGGCTGGCGATGGCTCATTTCAGGGCTTCCTGAGGACGGAAGTGAAGACAAAGTGGACGCATGCGTTGGATGTGTTAGTAAGACGCATAAGGCGTGTGCACAGTTAATCGTAAGGCACGTTAAAGGGGGTAGGTGATTACTGTGAGAGGTGGGGTGTGCCAAGGGAGGTGCAGACGAAGAGAGGCTGGGGGGAGATGAGTTTGTCGGGGACAGGCACAACCAGGACAGGAGCTTTCTAGGACAGGGAAGCCCTGAATGCCATTCTCCTCTCCCTGTCAGATCTGCTCACCGGACAGGGTCCAAGCCCGGAGGTATAATGAGTCCCCCCTCGTTTCATGCTCTCCTCCTCGGGTCTAGCACATCACCCTGCCATAGCTGAGGGTGGGTTGTATGTGTCTTTTCATCACGTATCGCGTTCCGGCACTAGCAGATGGCGTCATGGTCACATCGCTGGACTCCCACCTAGTCGACCACAGTTTGAGTCTTGGATCAGGTGGCTTATAGACCCATGCCAGGTTCGTGTGCCCAAAGTCCCGAGAGGAGAATGGAGGAGAAGGGACTGTGGCATGGCCATCCGCCCTGGGATGTCCAGAGAGCACACGCACCCTATAGCAAAA